GCGGTGCGGGCAGGTTTGCTCCTTGCTCCCAGCACGGCATTGCTTCGGGGGGGTTAGACCCGGGGTGCCGCCGGCCCTGGGGAGCCGTTTGGAGTCCACCGAGGCTTCAAACGGACCAAGCGACCCACGAATAAAATGTGTCAGATGATGTAAAACATCGACGTGGGCCCTTTGCATGGCTCAGCCTTTCCAAAAAAACGGACTGGGTGATCGCGCCCGCCGGTGCCGCTCACCGTGCTTCACCAGCGTGGCGTTACCGGCGGCGATTTCGAAGTAGGTGGAGTTGTTGGTGAGACATTGGTCCCCCCTGGAGAGAGAGAGAGGGGAAGGGAGTGAGGTGGGGAAGGAGAGCGAAGATCCCCCACCATGGGCTGGAAAGGAACGGCAAAGTCCCGGCCCCGCACCTCGCCGTGGGATGGGAACCCGGCCGTGCCAGCTCCTCCGCAGGGTTAACTGCTCTCAGGGCTAAAATTCAGCCATTTCTCCCACGGGTTTGTCTGACCTCCACCTGCAGCTTGTGGTCTCAGCCTTGCCCTGCCCAGCTCAAGGCCTCCTTGGTGCTCAGACGTTTTCCACCCCAAAATAACTGAAATTGCAAAGAACTGCCTGCCTTGGCCCAGAAATATTCATCTCAAAGTCTGATCCTGGGCGGGGGGGAAACAGCTTTTGGTGCCCGGCAGGGTTAGCAGCCGAGGCGCAGGGACCTCCAGAAAGGTCTTCTCCTCTGGAAAGGTCATCTCCTTGCCTGCGTCCTGCATCTTCCATGCCTGCAGGGGTTGGTGCCTGAAAGACCTCTATGCCCTGCAAAATTTCATAGAATCATTAAGGTTGGAAAAGACCTCTAAGATCATCAAGTCCAACCGTCAACCCAACACCACCATGCCCACTAAACCATGTCCCTAAGCGCCTCATCTACACGTCTTTTAAATACCTCCAGGGGTGGTGACTCCACCACTTCCCTGGGCAGCCTGTTCCAAGGCCTGACCACTCTTTCAGTAAAGAAGTTTTTCCTAATGTCCAATCTAAACCTCCCTTGGCACAACTTGAGGCCATTTCCTCTTGTCCTATCGCTGGTTACTTGGCAGAAGAGACCAACCCCCACCTCGCTACAACCTCCTTTCAGGTAGTTGTAGAGCGCGATGAGGTCTCCCCTAACCTCTGCCTAAACCTGGGGGCTGTTGAAATAAATAAGTAAAAGAAGGGGTGAGGAAGAGAAGGGACGGGAGAGCATGCACAGAGCAGCCAGGAGAGACTCTCCTTGGGAAAACCAGTCTGAAACCGTGCTCGTATCTCGTGTTGAAACGGCTGCGGAGGCGGCAGCACGTGGGAGGAGGTGGCGGGGGCAGAGAGACCCGAGGGTTGCGTCTTACACGGCCACGCGCTGGGTGATGAGCAGCTCCTGGTCCCTGGCGCGGGGCTCCACGTGGAGGTGGCCGTGGTCGATGAGCAGCA